TGATAGCTGAAAGAGGGAAATAAATTAGCCACTGATTGAAGATGATATAATGGCCTACCTGAAAAACACAAAAGTATCAGCTGAAACATGGTAGTAATAGAACAGCTCTGTCAGGGAGTCAGATGCTAACAACTCTCCAGAGATCTTGTTGGCAAAAGAATCAGTGCAATTCCTGGAAATTGCAGTGGAGAAAGGATGCAATCAAAAAGAGCAAGGTTGTGGGGGGAATAGAAATACCCTATGATTAAACTTAGTGGGAATAAGATACCAATCTGCACAAAAATGTAAAGTTCTACTGAGGAACGAAGGATGGAAGGAAGGGATCGGGGGAGGGAGGAAGGAAGTTTGTATAGATAGATGGACGGATGGATAAATGAACAGATGGATGATGGATGGATAAATGAACAGATGGATGGATGGATGAATGAGTGGATGGGTGGATGGATGGATGGGTGGTTAGATAGGTGGATGGATGGATGGGTGGTTGGATAGATGCATGGACAGATGGGTGGTTGGATAGATGGATGGATTGATAGACTGATGGATGGATGGGTGGATGAATGGATTAGTGAGTAGATAATAGTAGATGGATGGACAGATGACTGGCTGACTGGATGGATGGGTGGATGCATGGATGGATGAATTAGTGAGTGGATGGATGGATGGATTAGTGAGTAGATGGATGGATGAACAGATGGCTGGCTGGCTGGGTGGATGAACAGAGGATGGAATGAATAAAGCAGATGTTTACACTCCAATTCTAGAAACATATTCTACGAAATTAAGTAGGAGCTGGGCGATGATTGTTTTCTCCAGGACAGTGACAAGTGTTTGGAAATGGCCTAAGTGCTCATCAGTGAGGGGTGAGGTGCAATCTGTGGACACCCCGCAAGGAACAGCCCTCCCCCTCCTTCCTGCCACCTTCAGCAGCCGCCGCCCCAGGACTGACTCGTCTGTGTGTGTGTTTCCAGTTTACCTGCACTAATGCTACAGGTGATTATACAGCGTCCAGAACATGACAAAAGACATTTTGAACTCGATGCGATCTTTAATCTGTTTAAAGTTGTTGTATGGCCCCTAAGGTATTTTATTACAGACTTTTTAATTAGTGAAAAATTCATGAATACCATAGAGAAAATGTTTTAAAATTTAATGTTTCTTATATTTATGTAAACTTATGACTTCATTTATATACTTACTTTTTCTTGTATAGCCAGGTTATAAATATCCTTTCAGATCAATTCATGTTCTGATACCTGATTTTAGTCTTTCAAATGAATGTACTGTAATGCTTGTCTGTATAAATCCTATGAACAAATATAGGGCTTTTGTAAATGATGCATGTATTGTAATTATTCTTGTTTAATTTTTAAATGATAAATCATGAGAGAAGGGGTTTTCCTGCAATTGTAAAATCATGACACGGTGTGCATTATCCTTCCAGAATGTAACTGAGCTCTCCAACACTCACTCTGAAATGAGCGAACTTAATTTCAACCAATCATTCTATTTTAACGACTGACCTGAACTGTACTTTTTCTAGCAAGAAATGCTTTCTCTCTGCAGAGTGAAGCGATTTAAAAGTACTGGGTGCTGAATGTGAGCTTCTAGTGAAGTTTGGGCTGAAAGCATGGCTAGAAGACGACTATGACAATCTCTCCCGTGACCTGGTCTCTGAGGACCCGGATCCCTCTCTCCGCTGAGACTCTTCGGGGACCAGTCGCGATGCCCTGCACCCGCTGCAGAGCCGGTGCGCTGGACGGTGAAAGAGCCACGTCCGGACAGACAGACAGCGTCGAGCCCCTCTGACAAAGGCCTTAGTTTTCTTATGTAAACCATCTTTTTATATCTGTAAACATGTTTAAAGAATGGACCTAGGCATACATCTGTAGATTTTGATGACACAGCCATTTTGGATTGTATAAGTAGCAAATGTAACTTTTACTTCTCCAGGAGCACATTACAAAAGCCAGCAAGAGATGCGTTCAGATCACAGTGTGTTATTTATTATGCAGTGATGTCTCAGTAGACAGAGACGGCATGTCTCTTTACATGTGGGTTCCACCTTTAATTTACTTGTACAATTCATTGTTACCATTCTGTTTCTCTACTAATCTTTGGTGAACTTCCTGAATATGTGACAAAGTATGTACAGTCTACTTTTGAACTATTTTTATCACAGTGTTATTGACTGCTTTCTTTCAATAAAGTACTGAAGGAAAATTTCCCACTGCCGATAGAGTGTGCCGAGGGTAAGCTGGACTCTGAGAACAGACCAGAGCTGGTAATGGAGGCCATGTCATCATACATTGTTAAGAGAAACGGATGGATACAATGGAAAGGCTAGAAGGCGGAAGCATAGATGTCCCCAAAGGACGACCACCCTTATATTCATGCTCTTGGCTCTGGAGGCAAGGGGCTCCATCACTTCAGCACCTGCGGGGACAGGGCCCCTCTGCTGCTGAGGCGTGGGCAGCGGGCTGAGGATGGGAACAAAGTGCGCGTGTCAAGGCTCACCGTGGATCCCAGGGCAGGGTGGCCGAGGGCAACCCTGATGTGGACCCGAATGATGCACTAGGGAGTGTGTGTGTGCACGCTTGTGTGTTGGTGCTTTTTACATTATTTTAGTCAACAGTCTTTATTATTCATATATCCATAGAAACAAGAATGTAGCAAGGGGAGGTGGGAGGGAGATTCAAGAGGGAGGAGACATATGTTCATCTATGGCTAATTCATATTGATGTATGGCAGAAATCAAACCGATATTGCACAGCAATTATGCTTCAGAAAAAAAGAACACAGCAAGGTGGTCAGGAAAGTATGAAAAAAAGCTTTCTCATAGAGATTTATAATCACAACTCTGTATATCTGGGAGCAGGCTGCCCACCATCATCAGGTCTTCCCCCCAGCATCAGACGTTCCCCCCAGCATCAGGCCCCAGTCTAGCATCAGACCTTTCCAGAGCATCAGACCCTCCCCCAGCATCAGGCCCTAGTCCAGCATCAGACCCTACCCAGCATCAGACCTTCCCCCAGCATCAGGCCCTAGTCCAGCATCAGACCCTACCCAGCATCAGACCTTCCCCCAGCATCAGACCCTAGTCTAGCATCAGACCCTCCCCCATCATCAGACCCTAGTCTAGCATCAGACTCTCGCTCAGCGTCAGGCCCTAGTCCAGCATCAGGCCCTCCCCAAGCATCAGGCCCTACTCCAGCATCAGACCCTCCCCCAGCATCAGGCCCTAGTCCAGCATCAGACCTTCCCCCAGCATCAGACCCTACCCAGCATCAGACCTTCCCCCAGCATCAGACCTTCCCCCAGCATCAGGCCCTAGTCCAGCATCAGACCCTAGTCCAGCATCAGATCTTCCCCCAGCATCACACCCTCCTCCAGGGTCAGACCATCCCCCAGCATCAGGCCCTCGTCCAGCATCAGACGCTCCCTCAGCATCAGACCCTAGTCCAGCATCAGGCCCTAGTCCAGCATCAGATCCTACCCAGCATCAGGCCCTCCCCAGCATCAGGCCCTAGTCCAGCATCAGACCCTCCCCCAGCATCAGGCCCTACTCCAGCATCAGACCCTCCCCCAGCATCAGGCCCTCCCCCAGAATCAGACCCTAGTCCAGCATCAGGCCCTCCTCCAGCATCAGGCCCTCGCCCAGCATCAGGCCCTAGTCCAGCATCAGAGGTTGCCCCCCAGCATCAGTCGTTGGCCCCCAGCATGAGGGCCTAGTCCACCATCAGACCCTAGTCCAGCATCAGACAGTCCCCCCCAGCTTCAGGACCTAGTCCAGCATCAGACCCTACTCCAACATCAGACCCTCCCCAGCATCAGGCCCTCCCCCCAGCATTAGGCCCTCCTCCAGCATCAGGCCTTAGTCCAGAATAAGACCTTCCCCAGCATTAGACCCTACCCCAGGATCAGACCCTAGTCCAGCATCAGACACTTGCCCAACAACAGGCCCTTCCCCAGCATCAGACCCTAGTCTAGCATCAGATGTTCCCCACAATCATCAGGCCCTAGTCCAGCATCATACCTTCCCCCAGAATCAGACCTTCCCACAGCGTCAGGCACCTCCCGCATCAGACCCTCCCCCAGCATGAGACCCTAGTCCAGCATCAGGCCCTCCCGCACCCTCAGACCCTCCCCCGGCCTCAGGCCGTTCCCCACTATCAGGCCCCCCACCTCCAGTATGAGGTGTGGCAGCTCCACTTGTCTGATGCTCCTGAGCACCCGCAGGCAGCCCCAGAGCAGCAGGACAATGGCTCTTGCAGGAGGTGCATCTCCAGGAATCACCTGCGGAGCCGCAGCAGCTCGGGTCTCTTTCAGGTCAAGGAGAGGCGGAGGGGCACTTGTGCAGGAGGCCGCCGTGGCTGTGGGCACGTTCCCCGACTCTGCTTCCTCCCCGTGGGGGCTCTGCTCTCCTGCTCTCTCACGGGCCCCAGGACTGTGTCCTTCCTGATTCACAGTCGCCTTGATATCTCAAGACTAAGTCCTGAGTTGCGGCCCAGTCTGGTGTGGCAGAGGGCTGGGAACAACCGAGCTCAAGGACTGAAAGGATCCCAGGGGTACAGTCAGGCCCCAGCGGGCGGCGGGGCAGGGGATGAGGGTGGCCGCCCACAGAGGGCCCCGAAGCAGCACTGGATGGACAGCAGTGATGCCTTAGCTCACTCGGGGACGCTGCCCGGCCTAGCGCTCACAGATTTTACCGCCAGCAGCTCTGGGGACGCAGGAAGCCCGGTGAGTGACACCATGCCACATGGGCTGTGTGCGTGGGCAGTGCTGACCATGGCCTCGGTTTTCATTCTGGTTCCAACTGTCCCTCCAAGGGCTGACGGGCTCCTCTTCCAAATGGCACAGATGTTTTCTTTATGTGGGTGAACGCATCCCTGCTTGTTTCTGTCGGCACTGTTGTCCCTCCTCGTGTGTTTTCCTCGTTACGACCTGTACTTGCTGCTCTCCCAGTTTAAATTAGGAGCAGTCCTTATTTTCTGCATTTCCTAGTTGTCAGTGTTCACTGGGGCTTTCCAGGTGGCACGAGCGGTAAAGATCCTTCCTGCCAATGCAAGAGATAATGAGAGATGTGGGTTCGGTCCCGAGGTCGAGAAGATGGCCTGGAGGAGGGCATGACAACCAACTCCAGTATTCTTGCCTGGAGAATCCCATGGACAGAGGAGCTAGTGGGCTCCATTCCCTGGGGTCGCAAAGAGTCAGACCCAACTGAAGCAGGTTAGTACATGCTCAGGCTTTAGTTCAGTCACTCGGTTGTGTCCGACTCTTTGCCACTCTGTGGACTGCAGCAGTCCAGGCTTTCCTGTCCTTCACTATCTCCTGGAGTTTGCTCAAACTCATGTCCATTCAATCAGTGATGCCATAGAGCCATCTCATTCCTGTTGCATCCACCAGAGAGGTGGCTGGGGCTCGGCAAAGTGCATGGTCCCACTGCCGGGGTGTGAAGCTGCCCTCACCACTCCCTGACCGCACGGCCATCACTGTGTCTTCCTCTGTAAATCGGGAGGTGGCAGCACCTGCTTGGGAAGGGGCACATCCAGCATCTGGTATATAATCAATGCACCACCATCTCAGCGCTGTATTTATTAATAAGAGGGATAGCATTTAATAACCTGCTCCTTTTTGTCTCTTATCACTTAACTGTGGTGCAGACCACATCTGTTTTCCTTACCCCTGTAAATCTCACACCCAGCACAAACAAGACACTCACAAATATCTGCCTGAAGAGGCATGAACATACTCTGTCCTCAAGGAGATGAAGCCGAGCGAGATGGGGCCTGATGATAACACTGTGTGATGAGGAGACCCCAGGAGGACCTGTGTGGCTGTGGTGTGGGGTGGGGGGCATGGGCAGAACCCCTGAGAGCTCCTGGGGACGGGGAAGGTGGCAGGAAGGAGGAGGAGGGCTGTGCCTTGCGGGGTGTCCACAGATTGTACCTCACCCCTCACTGATGAGCACTTGGGCCGTTTCCAAACACTTGTCACTGTTCTGGGGGAAACAATCATTGCCCAGCTGCTACTCAATCAACTTCACAGAATATGTTTCTAGCACTGGAGTATAAACATCTGCTTTATTCATTCCATCCTCTGTTCATTCACCCATCCAGCCAGCCATCTGTTCATGCATCCATCCACTCACTAATCCATCCATCCATCCATTCACAAATTCCATCCACCCATCAAGCCAGCCATCGGTTCATCGATCCATCCACTCACTCATCCATCCATCCATCCATCCACCCACCCAGTCATTAACTCATCCGATCATCTCGGACCCTCCGAGAAGACAGACGCCTCCTCCGCTCCTGCTCCCAGGAGGACCCCGAGCGTGAGTGACAGGAGCCTCATGGGGCAGCGGGGGAGACACAGAAGGGACATGCTGCAGTCCCTCCTCCTCTGAGCGGGGAAGCACCCACCTGGTCCTAAGGCCTCCTTGCTGTGGTGTCCAGGCCGGCCCCTTTCCTTCTTGCCAAAGAAGCGGCCGAAGGAGGACCTGATGCCCTTCTTCTTTTGGGCATTCTGCACCGAGTCCTGGCTGCTGTTGATTCTGGGTTTGCCCCCGGGGCCGTCCTGAGAGTCTGTCGAGCTTTGGGGAGAGAAACGCCCTTTAACCAGCGCCCTCATGCAAACACACACCCCTCCCCAAGACTGACTGATAGAACCGGCCACCAGCAACACCCGTGCCTCCACCTCAGGCAGACGGTGGCGTCTGCTTCTCCAACCACACTGCACATGAGCAATGGGGGCTCCCGGCCTCAGACATCGTTCCCGGGAAGCTGAGAGTCTCTGACTGGAGCTGCCCCCGAGGAGGGCTTGAGTCCAGGCCAGCTGGTGCAGAGGGCGCTCCGACCCTCCCTCAGAGTTGCCGCTCAGCAGGTGACGAGGCTCCCAGAGAAGGCGAGCTCCCCCGCTCTGGGCAGCTGCCCCTGCCTCCTGCAGGGTGACCGTCCCCGGCCGTGGCAGGAGAGCGACGGTCACCGTGCGGGGCTGCTGGTCAGGAGACCACACCTGCCCTCCGTCGGGGGCTTCCTGGCTCAGGACGGGAGTTCAGCAGGTGGTGGTCTGAAGGAGGACAGTGTCAGCCACAGGAGGGGGCAGAGTCTCCTGAGAGGAGACCCTTGAGGAAAAGGGAAGGACCCTCAAGAGCGAACCTGAGAGGCACGGGGCCATCACCATCAGGAATGGGCCCCGGACGGGCAGACATCTAGCAAGAGCAGGAAGAAAGCTCCCACAGGAGTCAATCCGCAGACACGACATTTTGTAAAATCACTAAGGTCCCTGAGCTCTTCTCCCCCAGCATCTGAAGTTCACCACTAAACACAGGCACCGCATCCAGTGCGATTCCTTTAAAATCATCCTTCCACCTCTTCCAGGACAAGAGGCGCAGGGCTCCTGAAACTGATGAGGCGCGCAGGCCCCTTACTTGCGGGCGTCCCTGATGTCCTCCGTGCGCAGCGCCCCCGTGTGCAGCCGGTCCAGCCGAAGGGACCGCGGCGAGGCAGGGCTCGAGTTTCAGATTTGATGGTGGTCTTCTCATTTGGCACCTCTTCCCGTAGAGCTGGCAGCTGAGGGAATGAGCTGAGTGTAAAATTGGCTAACAAGAGACTGTGTCAAAAAAGGCAATCATACAGGCTTTACATTATAACCACAAACACATTTGAAAATCTATTAGCTATGCTATCCGCCAAGTACAAAAAAATGCCTTGTACTAGCTTAATGCCATCTTAAAGGACTGTCTTGTAGAGAAGCGGGGCGTGGGGCAGCGAGAGCACCTGACTGAGTTCAGAGACCCCTGATGGGAACCTCCCTGCAGCGGGGCTCCGCCCTCCCTGGAATGCAGCGACCAGATGGCCCCGCAGGGCAGGACAAGCAGAGCGACGCCAGCCCCATGAACCCTGCATGGCACGAACTGCCCTGATGAAAGGACTGTGCTCATCGCCAGATGCTGCTCAGAAGCACCACTAGCAAGGGCAAGGAAGCTCTCAGCAAGCCTTCCAGACCTTTGTTTGAAGGAGAAAAGGAAACAGCTTGTACCACCACCCAAGATCATTTGTAGTGATGATGCAGGTTACTGGAACCCATGACATCAAGTGAAACACAGGAAAGGTACCTAACCCGGCATGCGAACACCATGTGTCTGGCTCGTATTTCTCTGTAACATACCACTGGGTGTTACCCAGTGAAGTGCTTACATGCAATTCCAGTGTAATTTACTCACTGTGCTCTACATAAAGCACCCCTAGGTCCTCACTAAGAGATGATCTTGTAGCAACCTAGAGGGGTGGGATGGGGAGGGAAATGGGAGGGAGGTTCAAAAGGGAAGGGATATATGTAGACCTATGGCTAATTTATGTTACGGATTGACAGAAAAGAACAAAATTCTGTAAAGCAATTATCCTTCAATTAAAAAATAAACTAATTAAAAGGAAAAAAAAAAGATGATCTCTCCTGGAGTCCCAGCTTTTCTGCTCGTCCCGGGTGTGAGGACAGGAAAGACAGTGGTGGCAACAGTGTGGGGAACAGATTAACCCCTTCAGGGTCCAGACAGGTCTCACTTACACATGTGGGTCTGTGGTTAAGCCAGGGGAAGTCTGTAGAAACATGCACAGCAAGTATTTTTGTGAACAACGAGTGTGTTGTTTTAACCAACTAACCTGTGCCTTTTGAATGGGATTCTGTAAAGAATACTGATCCACTGCAGCCCCACAGGAGCTTGGTGACAACAAAGAGACTTACTGCAAAATACAGCTGAGCCAGTTTAACAGCGGCTGGATAAACTGCACCCTCCCCTGATCTCTAACAAGGACCCTCAGGCAACAGAAGGGTACAGAGGCTAGAAATTATCCCCTCGGAACTGAACAGGGGTCAATCTCAAATTCAAGTTACAATAAGAATTTATAAAAATCAGAAAACAACACAGAACAGAAAGGGGAAGTGACATGCCTGGGTTGACCGTGGACTCAGGGGAGACGAACACCTGCCTCAAAGTCAGGGACCGCGGCCAGCCCCTTCCCCGGGCCTCCTCCTGAGGAAGGGCTCTGGGCCCCCAGCCTGGCCGCCCTCCCCCAGGAGGGAAGCCCGCCCTCCCCGAGGAGGGAAGCCCGCCCCCCTGGTGCCCACGGGACTAGGATGGGCAGGACGGTGTCCTCACGTAACAGGAGGGCAGAGCAGGCCACAGAGCCGGTGAGCGGCACACCCAGGCCACCAGCCGCAGGCTGACGGAGCAGCTCCGCTGTGCCCAGCAGAAGGGCTCCCGGGCACTGAGCTGCCTGAACTGGAGCGCGGCTGCCCGAGACCTACGGGAAGGTCCCAGGAGTGGTCGGTCAGTGGGCTGGGAGCGGGAGAGGGACAAGGACGGCCAGCCCTTGGGGCACTGGACTCAACAACAGGGGCTCATCCAAGGGACCTGAGGGGAGAGGAAGCGAGCTCCCTCCTGGTGCTCCCTCCATCAGGGACGCTTTGAGGGACACGAGAGCCTCTGGAGGAAAGCGGGCTGGACGGAACCACGGTTACGTGTCCAGGCTCTGATCAGACGGGTCTGCACCGCACTGCTGGGTGTGTGAGCCTGGGCACGGGGCCCGGCCTCTCAGTGTCCACATCTGCTGAATGGGGACAACAGCAGCCTGGACCTCACCTGGGTTTCTGCGGGATTAGATGATGGGCTCGGAAAGCACTCGACACGGTGCCTGGAGGGCAGAGTCTCCTGCACACTGCTACCCCCGTCATTAGAGGGCTTCCCCCAAATCTAATACCTATGGCTCTGATTCAGTCATTGCTTTTAAGAAAACACTAAGTGGAAATTCCATGGTGGTCCAGATGTTAGGACTTGGCACTTTCACTGCCGGGACACCGCTCTGATCCCTGGTTGGGGAATTAAGATCCCATAAGCTGTGCGGCATGGCCAAAAAAATAAAATTTTAAAAATAAGAAATACTACTATGTCTATTATAAATAAGCATGAGATCATTAGAAAGCAAACAAGTGGGAGAAAGGGAAACTGTTACAATTGTCTCAACGAATGACTTATTTCCAACAGAACCATCAGCATATTTTAAGTGGTGGGTGAGTTTCAAAACTTCCATTAAAACGTCAATTATTCACCAGTACATAACCACACAGTGTTCACGTGACATGATAAGCACTCTTTAACACTTCACAGAGAAACAAAGCCATGCTAAATTACTAAATAGTTTACCTTTCAAGGATGCTTCCTTAAATTACTAGCCTGATGGATGCATGCAAAGCAATGGAGAGAAACCAGGTTGATTGCGACTTTGAAGCTAAAAATTCAAAGAATCAGTATAGGCAAATACAGGAAAGCAAAAATGATGGCAAACCTATAAGTGAGATTAAGACTTAGAGAACAGTAGCTAGAAACAGAACATTTTTTTTTTTTTGACCACAGAAGTTAATTAAGCTATTCAAGATTTACTAGAGAAACAGTATAAATTATTACTCAGGAAAATACAATTCTGTTACAACATCGTGATTTATTAAAGCACAGTATCCTGTACAACAAAGGGCCTCAACAGCTGTCTGTTCTCAGCCAAACTTCTCTATAACTTATTTCTCTTAATAAAAATCATGTTATACTTTAAAATAGTAATTTAACTGATGAGGAAGTTACCATAATACCTATTTTAACACTGAACAAATCTAACCACCTATTAGACATTAATGTAAAATCCTTACCTAGAATTTGATTTAAAACTTCTGAAAATAAATTCATTAAAGCAGGTACCCTATGAAAATGTGTAGGAATGAAACTAGCATAATAGCAGGTGGAGTCTTCACATTTTATGAACCATAGAAGATACCTTGTAAAAGAGTCTAGTAGAAACATTAACCATGCAAAAGCTGATGAGATTTACAGTCTTAAATACAAGCACCAACACAGAAAGGATATTGTGTCAAAAGCCCATTAATTCTACACTAAGAGGATCATTTCTTTATGTAAGCATAATCTCATTTATAAATTGCACAGGTTATGTGGTGTACGATCCATCTACATTATGCTTGTAACTGCATAGTGATACAATAATTCAAACTTACTGCTATGGGGGAAAAACACCATTTAATGAGACATGAAGTAAAGCACAAACACGACTAAAGGGACACACGCTGTGGACACAGCACTGCTGTGACCAGAGCAAGTGGGAGGACGGGGAGGGGAGATGGATGGGGAAACTACAGCCTGGGGCGGGGGGGACGGGAGGCTGGGGTCTGGACTGACGACAGCTAAACAGACAACAGGATGAGACAGGAAATCCAAACCAATGATGAAAGCAGACACACCGTCAGAGAACTCCAACAACAAGGACAAAATATACACAACTGTTCTTTTACAAATACTCGGAAAGAAATCAAGCATGAAACCACAGAGAAATTGTCAAGAATTTTAAGTATCAACTAATTAGCAAAGACGCAAATTATACAAAGTGTGTCAAAAGACCACAAAATGGACTAGTTACCACTTCACATGCATCTAAAATGACTCACACTGAATTTAATGATATGCTGACTAACAATGCAGCTAATATGAAATGGGTGGGAACAGAAAAAAGTGATAATACAAGTGCAGTTACAAAGCAGAGTGTTGTAAACGTGATTTCATGGGGTAAACAGCAATGCACTCAGAAAACCTAAGTTAAACACGCAAGAAAGCTGGAACATGCGCTTTAGAGCCGCACACTCTGTCACCAAAAGCCCTAGGTCGTCATCCCGTTTTTAGACTCGGAAGAGTGAGGAAGCCGGACTTCTTCCCTGGGGCCCTGGGGCACCTGGCTTTGAACCTGGTTCCACATGCAGAGCTGGCCTGAGTGCGCGGCCAGGTCCATCAGCAAGCAGACCAGTTTAGATTTTTGGTTTTCTTCCCACCGCATTCCCTGCACCCTGCAGGCAGGCATCCCCATTGGAAAATGGGCTGCACAGTTTTCACACGCCATGAGAACGGCCTATGGTTTTGTCACGGAGCTGTCTGCTCCCTGAGAACAGGAATGCTCCTGCAGCTGCTGCGCCAGCACAGGCCAGGCCCGGTGTTACAGAGGCAGGCTCTGGCTGAGCTCAGGACAGTGTGCTGAGCCGGTGGGCCAAACACCAAGACTAGCTGCTCACTGTGCGATTACGGGATGCTTCACGACCAGGCAGTTTTAAGTATCTTAGACACCTAAGGATGGCAAATGTACCTGATTTTCTTCTGGGTAAAAAGAGAAAAAAAAACAAACAAAAAAAGAAAACCAGGGTGCTGGGGGAGGGACGCGGCAGGGAGGAGGCAGACACATACCAGAGGCGTGATGCCCAGCCGCTCTATGTTCCGCGCTGGGCTCCGACGCCTCATTTGTGGCGTGGAGGGCACTCTGCTGCGTGGGCAGGAGCTGGCAAGCGAGCAGTCAAAATACAGGTCGAGGGATCTCATCGATTTAACGCGACGAAGGCGACCTGAGCTCGCCCTGCCCACCCTGCTCGCAGTCTCCTCGGCCCACTGCTCCATGCTCTCCCTCTCTTGGATCCACCTAAAAGAGAGCAAAACTCGTCACCTGCCTTTGTCAGCACAGGAACGTGTCTGGACAACAAATTTGGGCTTGCATTCTGTGTCATGATTAGGAAATTCCAGGAACAGTTGCTCAATTAACATCGCAGCAAAAATGTTCAACTTTCCCTCTTTTGAATATTCTCAAACTTAGTATAACCTAGCACCGAGTCTTACAAACTGGCCCCTGATCATTCACGTTTGATTTGACTCATTTACTCTAACATTCTGACAGGGCCTGGGTGGCGACTCTCTCCCCGTGAGGAGACACCTGAAGTTGACAACCTTCACCATCCCTGCTCTCAGGGCTGAGGTGCACGTCAGGCCCCTCGAGTCAGGGCCATCACCATCAGGAATGGGCCCCGGACGGGCAGACATCTAGCAAGAGCAGGAAGAAAGCTCCCACAGGAGTCAATCCGCAGACACGACATTTTGTAAAATCACTAAGGTCCCTGAGCTCTTCTCCCCCAGCATCTGAAGTTCACCACTAAACACAGGCACCGCATCCAGTGCGATTCCTTTAAAATCATCCTTCCACCTCTTCCAGGACAAGAGGCGCAGGGCTCCTGAAACTGATGAGGCGCGCAGGCCCCTTACTTGCGGGCGTCCCTGATGTCCTCCGTGCGCAGCGCCCCCGTGTGCAGCCGGTCCAGCCGAAGGGACCGCGGCGAGGCAGGGCTCGAGGTTTCAGATTTGATGGTGGTCTTCTCATTTGGCACCTCTTCCCGTAGAGCTGGCAGCTGAGGGAATGAGCTGAGTGTAAAATTGGCTAACAAGAGACTGTGTCAAAAAAGGCAATCATACAGGCTTTACATTATAACCACAAACACATTTGAAAATCTATTAGCTATGCTATCCGCCAAGTACAAAAAAATGCCTTGTACTAGCTTAATGCCATCTTAAAGGACTGTCTTGTAGAGAAGCGGGGCGTGGGGCAGCGAGAGCACCTGACTGAGTTCAGAGACCCCTGATGGGAACCTCCCTGCAGCGGGGCTCCGCCCTCCCTGGAATGCAGCGACCAGATGGCCCCGCAGGGCAGGACAAGCAGAGCGACGCCAGCCCCATGAACCCTGCATGGCACGAACTGCCCTGATGAAAGGACTGTGCTCATCGCCAGATGCTGCTCAGAAGCACCACTAGCAAGGGCAAGGAAGCTCTCAGCAAGCCTTCCAGACCTTTGTTTGAAGGAGAAAAGGAAACAGCTTGTACCACCACCCAAGATCATTTGTAGTGATGATGCAGGTTACTGGAACCCATGACATCAAGTGAAACACAGGAAAGGTACCTAACCCGGCATGCGAACACCATGTGTCTGGCTCGTATTTCTCTGTAACATACCACTGGGTGTTACCCAGTGAAGTGCTTACATGCAATTCCAGTGTAATTTACTCACTGTGCTCTACATAAAGCACCCCTAGGTCCTCACTAAGAGATGATCTTGTAGCAACCTAGAGGGGTGGGATGGGGAGGGAAATGGGAGGGAGGTTCAAAAGGGAAGGGATATATGTAGACCTATGGCTAATTTATGTTACGGATTGACAGAAAAGAACAAAATTCTGTAAAGCAATTATCCTTCAATTAAAAAATAAACTAATTAAAAGGAAAAAAAAAAGATGATCTCTCCTGGAGTCCCAGCTTTTCTGCTCGTCCCGGGTGTGAGGACAGGAAAGACAGTGGTGGCAACAGTGTGGGGAACAGATTAACCCCTTCAGGGTCCAGACAGGTCTCACTTACACATGTGGGTCTGTGGTTAAGCCAGGGGAAGTCTGTAGAAACATGCACAGCAAGTATTTTTGTGAACAACGAGTGTGTTGTTTTAACCAACTAACCTGTGCCTTTTGAATGGGATTCTGTAAAGAATACTGATCCACTGCAGCCCCACAGGAGCTTGGTGACAACAAAGAGACTTACTGCAAAATACAGCTGAGCCAGTTTAACAGCGGCTGGATAAACTGCACCCTCCCCTGATCTCTAACAAGGACCCTCAGGCAACAGAAGGGTACAGAGGCTAGAAATTATCCCCTCGGAACTGAACAGGGGTCAATCTCAAATTCAAGTTACAATAAGAATTTATAAAAATCAGAAAACAACACAGAACAGAAAGGGGAAGTGACATGCCTGGGTTGACCGTGGACTCAGGGGAGACGAACACCTGCCTCAAAGTCAGGGACCGCGGCCAGCCCCTTCCCCGGGCCTCCTCCTGAGGAAGGGCTCTGGGCCCCCAGCCTGGCCGCCCTCCCCCAGGAGGGAAGCCCGCCCCCCTGGTGCCCACGTGACTAGGATGGGCAGGACCGTGTCCTCACGTAACAGGAGGGCAGAGCAGGCCACAGAGCCGGTGAGCGGCACACCCAGGCCACCAGCCGCAGGCTGACGGAGCAGCTCCGCTGTGCCCAGCAGAAGGGCTCCCGGGCACTGAGCTGCCTGAACTGGAGCGCGGCTGCCCGAGACCTGCGGGAAGGTCCCAGGAGTGGTCGGTCAGTGGGCTGGGAGCGGGAGAGGGACAAGGACGGCCAGCCCTTGGGGCACTGGACTCAACAACAGGGGCTCATCCAAGGGACCTGAGGGGAGAGGAAGCGAGCTCCCTCCTGGTGCTCCCTCCATCAGGGACGCTTTGAGGGACACGAGAGCCTCTGGAGGAAAGCGGGCTGGACGGAACCACGGTTACGTGTCCAGGCTCTGATCAGACGGGTCTGCACCGCACTGCTGGGTGTGTGAGCCTGGGCACGGGGCCCGGCCTCTCAGTGTCCACATCTGCTGAATGGGGACAACAGCAGCCTGGACCTCACCTGGGTTTCTGCGGGATTAGATGATGGGCTCGGAAAGCACTCGACACGGTGCCTGGAGGGCAGAGTCTCCTGCACACTGCTACCCCCGTCATTAGAGGGCTTCCCCCAAATCTAATACCTATGGCTCTGATTCAGTCATTGCTTTTAAGAAAACACTAAGTGGAAATTCCATGGTGGTCCAGATGTTAGGACTTGGCACTTTCACTGCCGGGACACCGCTCTGATCCCTGGTTGGGGAATTAAGATCCCATAAGCTGTGCGGCATGGCCAAAAAAATAAAATTTTAAAAATAAGAAATACTACTATGTCTATTATAAATAAGCATGAGATCATTAGAAAGCAAACAAGTGGGAGAAAGGGAAACTGTTACAATTGTCTCAACGAATGACTTATTTCCAACAGAACCATCAGCATATTTTAAGTGGTGGGTGAGTTTCAAAACTTCCATTAAAACGTCAATTATTCACCAGTACATAACCACACAGTGTTCACGTGACATGATAAGCACTCTTAACACTTCACAGAGAAACAAAGCCATGCTAAATTACTAAATAGTTTACCTTTCAAGGATGCTTCCTTAAATAACTAGCCTGATGGATGCATGCAAAGCAATGGAGAGAAACCAGGTTGATTGCGACTTTGAAGCTAACAATTCAAAGAATCAGTATAGGCAAATACAGGAAAGCAAAAATGATGGCAAACCTATAAGTGAGATTAAGACTTAGAGAACAGTAGCTAGAAACAGAACATTTTTTTTTTTTGACCACAGAAGTTAATTAAGCTATTCAAGATTTACTAGAGAAACAGTATAAATTATTACTCAGGAAAATACAATTCTGTTACAACATCGTGATTTATTAAAGCACTGTATCCTGTACAACAAAGGGCCTCAACAGCTGTCTGTTCTCAGCCAAACTTCTCTATAACTTATTTCTCTTAATAAAAATCATGTTATACTTTAAAATAGTAATTTAACTGATGAGGAAGTTACCATAATACCTATTTTAACACTGAACAAATCTAACCACCTATTAGACATTAATGTAAAATCCTTACCTAGAATTTGATTTAAAACTTCTGAAAATAAATTCATTAAAGCAGGTACCCTATGAAAATGTGTAGGAATGAAACTAGCATAATAGCAGGTGGAGTCTTCACATTTTATGAACCATAGAAGATACTTTGTAAAAGAGTCTAGTAGAAACATTAACCATGCAAAAGCTGATGAGATTTACAGTCTTAAATACAAGCACCAACACAGAAAGGATATTGTGTCAAAAGCCCATTAATTCTACACTAAGAGGATCATTTCCTTATGTAAGCATAATCTCATTTATAAATTGCACAGGTTATGTGGTGTACGATCCATCTACATTATGCTTGTAACTGCATAGTGATACAATAATTCAAACTTACTGCTATGGGGGAAAAACACCATTTAATGAGACATGAAGTAAAGCACAAACACGACTAAAGGGACACACGCTGTGGACACAGCACTGCTGTGACCAGAGCAAGTGGGAGGACGGGGAGGGGAGATGGATGGGGAAACTACAGCCTGGGGCGGGGGGGACGGGAGGCTGGGGTCTGGACTGACGACAGCTAAACAGACAACAGGATGAGACAGGAAATCCAAACCAATGATGAAAGCAGACACACCGTCAGAGAACTCCAACAACAAGGACAAAATATACACAACTGTTCTTTTACAAATACTCGGAAAGAAATCAAGCATGAAACCACAGAGAAATTGTCAAGAATTTTAAGTATCAACTAATTAGCAAAGACGCAAATTATACAAAGTGTGTCAAAAGACCACAAAATGGACTAGTTACCACTTCACATGCATCTAAAATGACTCACACTGAATTTAATGATATGCTGACTAACAATGCAGCTAATATGAAATGGGTGGGAACAGAAAAAAGTGATAATACAAGTGCAGTTACAAAGCAGAGTGTTGTAAACGTGATTTCATGGGGTAAACAGCAATGCACTCAGAAAACCTAAGTTAAACACGCAAGAAAGCTGGAACATGCGCTTTAGAGCCGCACACTCTGTCACCAAAAGCCCTAGGTCGTCATCCCGTTTTTAGACTCGGAAGAGTGAGGAAGCCGGACTTCTTCCCTGGGGCCCTGGGGCACCTGGCTTTGAACCTGGTTCCACATGCAGAGCTGGCCTGAGTGCGCGGCCAGGTCCATCAGCAAGCAGACCAGTTTAGATTTTTGGTTTTCTTCCCACCGCATTCCCTGCACCCTGCAGGCAGGCATCCCCATTGGAAAATGGGCTGCACAGTTTTCACACGCCATGAGAACGGCCTATGGTTTTGTCACGGAGCTGTCTGCTCCCTGAGAACAGGAATGCTCCTGCAGCTGCTGCGCCAGCACAGGCCAGGCCCGGTGTTACAGAGGCAGGCTCTGGCTGAGCTCAGGACAGTGTGCTGAGCCGGTGGGCCAAACACCAAGACTAGCTGCTCACTGTGCGATTACGGGATGCTTCACGACCAGGCAGTTTTAAGTATCTTAGACACCTAAGGATGGCAAATGTACCTGATTTTCTTCTGGGTAAAAAGAGAAAAAAAAACAAACAAAAAAAGAAAACCAGGGTGCTGGGGGAGGGACGCGGCAGGGAGGAGGCAGACACATACCAGAGGCGTGATGCCCAGCCGCTCTATGTTCCGCGCTGGGCTCCGACGCCTCATTTGTGGCGTGGAGGGCACTCTGCTGCGTGGGCAGGAGCTGGCAAGCGAGCAGTCAAAATACAGGTCGAGGGATCTCATCGATTTAACGCGACGAAGGCGACCTGAGCTCGCCCTGCCCACCCTGCTCGCAGTCTCCTCGGCCCACTGCTCCATGCTCTCCCTCTCTTGGATCCACCTAAAAGAGAGCAAAACTCGTCACCTGCCTTTGTCAGCACAGGAACGTGTCTGGACAACAAATTTGGGCTTGCATTCTGTGTCATGATTAGGAAATTCCAGGAACAGTTGCTCAATTAACATCGCAGCAAAAATGTTCAACTTTCCCTCTTTTGAATATTCTCAAACTTAGTATAACCTAGCACCGAGTCTTACAAACTGGCCCCTGATCATTCACGTTTGATTTGACTCATTTACTCTAACATTCTGACAGGGCCTGGGTGGCGACTCTCTCCCCGTGAGGAGACACCTGAAGTTGACAACCTTCACCATCCCTGCTCTCAGGGCTGAGGTGCACGTCAGGGCCTCGAGTCTTTTCCACTGGGAATCAGGAGCTCTGCACAACCAAAACAGCGATTCCCCAACAAGCTGGAGTTTCTAAACACAAGTCTCCGTAACAGATGAAGTGCTGAGTTGATCTTTTTTTTTTTAAGGGTGTCTGTGTACCAACACATCACTTGATGAAGTTCTCCCCCAGCTTTGTGTGAGTTTCTGGATTCATGCCAATGTGCCGCATTCACCTGGAATTCACGGTTACTGCTCTTCTCCCCTAATGTGTCATGGATGATTTTATATAGCAGTTTAAATACTAGATTATGCATATAAAATGATTTTTAAAAAAAAAATACAAGATTCTTGCAGGTCGTAACCTCTCCAGATTCACTACTTATACGTCCTGAAAGATTTTCACCGGTGACAAGTTGAAGGACAGAATTTACCATTTACATCAAGTCAACATATTGCATAAGCAAAAATCACTTTTACCTGACAACGTGCTGTAAAAATAGAAACATTAATATGTAACTGTTCCATATTTCCTGCGGGGACAGCAAAAGACAACCTTTCTGAGCTCGTCTGTGCTCAAACACGGCCCAGAAAGCAGTCTGTCTCGGCACCAAAGTGCAGGCCGCACCACCTGCCTTTGCTGGTTGTGCCGCTCACCCCTGCCTTCCCCCCGAGCCCCCCGCGCTCGGCACACAGGAACGGGCACCTCGGCCTGGGGTGACGTGACGAGAACAATCTGAGCAGCAGCTCTGCCGGGTCCTGCGCAGGATCACCGGCCCGTGGCCACTCTGAACATAACCTCAGGACAGGAGGCACGGCTGTGCGGGTGTGGCCCAGGCAGGCCTCGGGGTCCCCGGCCACCCGGCTGCACCCAGACCCATGGCCCCCTGCTCACCCCGAGGCGGGTCTTCGGATTCTATCCCGCTTTGTAAACTGTTATAACTGCCAAGACGGTGTCTAAAGAAAACATCTTAAACATACTGATGAGTTGAGAAAAACTCAAACACATGTCCTTGGACCAGTGTCTTACAAGAAGCCACTCTTCACACTGTGCTGAGTTAAAAAGGAAAATGCAGATCTGAGGGGGAATTTGCCAACCCCAAACCTCAGCTTTTCTGTTCCAGGTGGCTTTTCTCCAGAACGTGGGAGGCTCCGAGGGACACACGAGGGCGAACCCTCAGTGCTGGCGGGTTCACGGGCCTCAGGGGACACCGCCTCGGCACCTCTCCCACCTTGGGGCTCAGAGCTGGGTGGGGACACCCCGCAACGCACCCCCCCACACACAGAGTGCTGACACCAGCTATGGACAAAACACCCTGGCTGACTCAGCTCTCTCTTCAAGGGCGATCTCAGAACTGAAAATCCTTGAAGCAGGCCTGTAGTCAGTGTTCTCACTGTGGAACACTCAGACTTCTCCTAGGAGACGACAGCTCCTCAGAGAGAAGCCCAGTCTCCGGGGAGCTGAGTTCGGGCACACCCACCGGATCTCTTTGTTGATGGCGTCCAGCTGCTTTTGAAGCATCGCAGACAGAGTCTCGGCATCAGCCGGCCCGCTGGGCGGCAGCTGAGCGGCCGAGCTGAGGAGGGTGACCCCGTCGCCCTCGCCGTCAGACGCGCCTTCGTCTCTCTCGAAGGCCTGGGCCACGGTGTCCGGCACGCGGGCCTGTTGTCTCAACTGAAAGGAAAGGGGCTGAATCACTGTGTGTTCATGTGGGCATATACGTTAGTGCACTTCTTACTGTATACTCACCTAATGACATGGCTACTGTAACAGAATACACCGAGTGTCTCTCATTGATCTCAACGTCAAGAGAATCTGCTTATTCACAGCTATAAATTCTCAGCTTGAGAGGGAAAAAATGTTGTCCTAAAACAATTTTATTACCCAGTTTTTAATTGCAAATTGATAGCCAGAATATAATAAATCTTGAGACATTTATGCCAACTAATACTTTTAACTGGGGGCTTCCCAGGTGGCTCAGTGGTAAACAATCCGCCTGCCAATTCAAGAGGGCAGGCTGGATCCCTGGGTCGGGAAGATCCCCTGGAGTAGAAGATGGCCACCCACTCCAGTATTCTTGCCTGGGAAGTCCCAGGAAGAGAGGATGTGTTGGGCTACAGTCCAAAGGGTCGCAAACACTCGGACATGACTGAGCGTGTCCTCAGGCAACGCTTTTAAACCATATAAAACTCTGACTTCTTACAGAAAAACTGTATTTACAAGAATTCAAGAAGCTCAAAAGTCAACTAGTTTCATAAATACGTGCATCATCCACATGACCAGGCAGCAAGTGTACAAATGCAGGCCGGCCGGGTGGCTGGTACCTTCTCGTCCAGGGCCTTGTGGTGCTCAAATAGAAACTTCAGCGCCATAAGCACCTCAACCTCGCTGGTCATGCCGGCTGGGGACCGCGCCTGCTGCTTGTCCGCCGTCATCCGGAGGGACGGCATGTACCGGGAAACCAGGAGCTCCAGGTGCTCCAGCAGCAGCTGCAGGGCGGGGCCAAAGGGGCACCTTCAACCTCACGCTTGAATTCAGGGCCGAGAACTCCTCTCAGCCTCACACTAAAGCTAAAAGCATGCTAAGGCGCGTCGGAATCCCGCCAGTTCAGTCTAAAGTTAGAGTGGACTTCCCCAGTGGCCCAGGAGTTAAGACTCCACACTTCTGCAGGGCTCGTGGGTTTTAATCCCTGGTCGGGGATCTAAGATCCCACATAAACTGTAGCATGGCCAAAAATGTAAGTTAAGAGAACTCCCCCCCTCAAATGTACTGAAATTGCATTAGCTCTCATCATAAATTTGAAGCAAACTATGAGAACCCCAAGCTGATCCACCTCGGTCTGCCCAGTGGGAGGATGTGAAAAATGACTTGAAAACCAGACAGACTTTAAAGACAGCAACACGGAGCCCAGCGGTGAGCCCCGCGGGCACAGGCCAGCACGGGAGACTCCGCCTACTGACCCTGGTGTTGTTCCTCTCTGCTTTCAGCTCAGCAAGTTCTTCTTCTCTGGCAAGAAGCTGCTCCCGGCACACCTGCAGCTCTTGACTAGCTGTTGCCAGCTCCTAGAAAACAGTTAAATGAGGAAGTAACTAAATGCAAACACAAATGAAAAAGAGACCGAGACCGTGAAGGCTGACTCTATCAAGTCTCTCCAGGCCGTACACAAAGGATCTCCCTGCCCCTCCGGAGAAAAGGGGGTCCGCTGACCCCAAGACCACACAGACCAGCACAACTCAGACTGGCCTTCACCCTCCACCTCGACCTGGCAGGCACGCGCAGAAAAGAACCCGGAATCCAGCCTACCTTCTCCAGACCCAGGGAAGTCTGAGAAACTTTCCTAAACATAAACCAAACAACAAAATGGATAAACAGATTCTTAAACGACATGCAGACAAGTGACCTAGGACCCTTGGGGAGAGTGAAGAAGAAAGGTAAGACCTACAAGGCCACCAGGTTTTGGAGTGTTCCTCTGGGAAAGAGGCTGATGGCACACCAAGGCCATCTGTGAGCCTGACTCCACTGAAGTCACCCAGTCATTCAATAAACTGGCTAAAATGTTAAATTCGTGTTATATGTATTTTATCACAATTTGTGTGCACGCGGGGCCATCCACGTGGTGAACTTGCTCAAACCCAACCACAACGAGACTTTCATTCTTCTATTTTTCTTTGCACAAGTAACAAAACCCTGGCTTACATATCCCCCACTACCTACTGAGTATTCAGCACCTAGAACACTGCACAACACTTGTAAGAGGCACGAAGTAGACATGTGAAGCCGTGAGGGTATGTGTTACACACATAAGCAGTAGGTACCCATTATTAACATGCTGGACACACTGGTCTGTGCTTTGTAAGACGGGAGACATAAGGGGCTTAGCCGTTCTCCTTCAAGGACTGACTCTCTAGCTCGATCCAGATGCCCCAGAGACTGCTCCAGCCAGTGTATCCCTTCTCGTGGGGCCCCCGCCCATCCTCCACGCAGCACCTGCACAACCTCTAACAAAGTCAACCTGCTGGGGTCGATCCTGCCCACCAAGGCCAAAACGCCCTGGCCGGCAGGGCCCACGGCCATGCTAACAAATGAAACACAACCCCAACGCTTCATCGGGTGAGGGCCAATCCGACGGGCCCAGTCCCCGGCTGCTCTCACCTCGGGACACTCTGCTGCCAGGACTTGGGCCGAGGCCAACTTCTTCGTCTTCTTGGCCTTTGCCTTGGGGTTGCAGCATTGGAAAAGCGCCCATAGGCGGGCCCTTCTGCGACCCATCCTCGTGGATGGGGGCAGCCCCCCACTCGGGGGCAACTGCTGTTTCCCAGGCAGTACCTGAGCACCCGAGCTATCACCACTGATCTCACACTACGACCACCGCTCTCACACACACCGCTCTCACACACCGCTCTCACACACCGCTCTCACACTATGACCACCGCTCTCACACTATGACCACCAACACCAGCGTCTCAAGAGGAAATGGCACTAAGGCTCTGCCTCCAGCACGTCTCCCAGGAGCCCGGAACCTGGAACCCACTCCGTCACAAGGGGCTCCGTGGTAACACGGGGGCTGGGCTCAG